GCCAGAGGTTCAGGGACCTTGAGAGGATTCACCAGAGACAGAATGGTGAATTTGCAAAACATGCAAATCGATGAAGCACACTGCTGAGGGGAGCAGCAGGTGAGACAGGAGAGGTCTGCTGCTTCATGTGGGTCACCTCCTGGCCGGGGATTGAACTGGTGCCGAAGCAGCTTTTGCAGTGCCAGTCTTTAACCTGTTGTGCCACCAGGGAGTGCTCTCATTTGCTATTTTAATACAGGAGTAAGAAATGATCAGGAGAACCCAACAGAGGGTGACTTTTTCTATTTTATTATTAAACAAGAAACCTCAAAAGAGTCTTATACAACATTTCATGAGGGTAAAAAAAATTTCAAAATAATAGATTTGGTATAGCATGGCTTTACACCGCACATAAAGTTACAGAATCTAGCTCCACTTTATTTTATGGTTATACAGTCTGCTAATTGAGGTATGTTCACATTCTTTTTCTTTTTTTCCCATTAAGAAGTAACATTGGGAGCCTCCTGGTGGTGGAGGGGTTAACGACACAGCACTATCCAGCTATCAGCAGCCTCTGCAGCTTGAGTTCCACCCCTGGCCAGAGAGTGACCCCCAGGGCGTAGCAGACCTCTCCTGTTTCCCTGCTGCTCAGCTCAGCAGTGTGTTTCTGGAGATCTGCCCCTTCTGCTCCCCATCCTGTCCCCCACTCTGGGTCTGGTGCGTCCTCTCACCCTCCACACCTCTGGCCTGTACCACAGTTCTTGTGGGCATAACTAAATATTTAAAAAGAAGTAACATTGGTTTACAATACTGTATATGATTTAGGGAAACAGGTGTACACCTTCTTACATGTATCACCGCAACACCATTACAAGCCAAACTCCCTCTCCCTTTCCCAGAGACCACCGGGCCCCTTTCTTCTTGTCCCCATCGCCAACTATTAGGCTCCATTCTGTAGTCAGGTTTAGTAGTTGGTCACTTGCACTGTTTTAGTTCTCTGTTTTCTACTTGTCAGTTTAATCAACCAGTATTTGTCTTTCTCCTATTGACTTACTAGACTGAGCATAATCCATCTATATCTTCACAAATGGCAAGATTGGAGGTGACTAGCATTCCATTATAAATGTATCTTATTAATTCACTCATCTGTCTTTGGGCACTTAGGCTGTTTCTGTAATGTGGCCGTTCTGAAGAATGCTGCAGTAAACATAGGTGTACAGAGACCCCACTGAATGTGTTTTTTCATTCTTTAGTTGAATAACCAAGGAGTAGAATTTTTGGGTCATGTATAATTTTTGATTTTTAAAGATTTATTTTTATCACGCATACAGGAACTGGGGGGTAGGCCAGAGGTGTGGGGGTGAGAGGCTTCACCAGAGACAGAGTGG